GGTGACACCGCTAACCCTGCCGTTCTGCCTCTCAGGCTCAGTAAAAGCCAGAGCGGCGATGACGAGGGACCCCTGAGCGACAAGTGCAGCCGCAAGACCCTCTTCTACCTGATCGCAACGCTGAACGAATCCTTCCGCCCAGACTACGACTTCAGCGCTGCCAAGAGCCACGAGTTCAGCCGGGAGCCGAGCCTCAACTGGGTAGGTGGGCAAAGCGCCCCGAGGCAGGGCAGGTCCCGCGCCCCCACCGTGCTGCAGCTGTCCTGGAAGAGGAGGCAGCGTGGGTCTGGTGGGGGAGCATCTGGTTCTCCAGGGAGCCCCCCAGCGCTGCTGTGGTCCTGGGTGACCGTTCCCAGGGTGGTGTCAGCCCCCGGATGAGGCAGTCCTCAGCCTTCCCAGGAAGAAGCTTGGGGGGTCTTTTCCCAGCAGCCGTCCTGGGGTGTTTTCCTTCCGCAGCAGCAGCCTTGTGCTTGGCTCTTCTTGGGGAACGGCCTCTCGGGAGCGGGGTTTTCCATGGTTAGACTGCTCTTTCCCGGGGTGGGTATTTGGAGGAAGGAAGGGGGAGGGAAGCGTCGGTGGCTCCAGTCCTTCCTGCAGAGGACTTCCCGGCCTGCTGCCCGCAGCTTTCATCCCTGTGCCCATAGCATTGGTGGCTGGACGACGCTTGGCCTCACACCGGACAGAGGGGTGGCTCTGCAGGGCCTCCCGGGATCCGCTCTGTCCCTCCAGCAGGTGCCAGAGCCTCTGTCTGTCTGTCCGTCTGTCTCCCGTCTGCCCGGGCCAGGCAAGGCCACCCTTGTCACAGAGAAGGCAGATGGAGCAGGAAGCGTCCCCTCTGCCCGGGGAAGTTCGCCCTGTTTGCAGAGAGGAAGCCACCATGCTCTTCGCTGGGAGGGACTGGGGCTGCGCGCGCCCCGGAGATCCCCCGACGGGCTCCCCCTCCCCAGCCCTGGTGCTTCCCTCCTGCCTGCCTCCTTGCCTCCACCCCCGGGCCCTGAGCTAGCGCAGCGGTGCCTGGCCACCTTGCTTCTCCCCCTCTGCGGTCCCTGCCACAGAATCCCAGCATGGCCGGGGATGGCAGG